CGGTCATAATGATGACAGATGTCACTCGGTTAAAAATGGCTATTGCCGAAATTAAAGGAGTGATGGGATTTTCGGCGGGAAATCATAAAGATTCTCGAGCGCAATCTTTGGCCACTTGAGCATTTAAAGTCCTCCGAATTGGAATAGCACTTCGAAGAACTTGGGGGGCTAATTGTTGGTGTCGGATCCCGCACCAGAAGTACGAGACCAACCAAAGATTGCCACGTAATCAGGGTAATGGCCCATAAAGGATGAAGCCCATTGGACCCGTGAGCCGAAGGGATGTTCGAAATGGTTGTCACCATTTCGAGAATCCGAAGTGACTGCACTGTGACACGAGTTCAATGAAAAAGGCATGGGCAAGTCGGTTCAAGGACACTTGGGCCAAAAGAGGCGAGGCCCATGAAGATCAGAGTCAACTCAAATTCAAACGTTGAGCATTAAAGCCGAAGAATCAAAACGGACACATTTAAGAAGAAATAATTGTGCTTAATTACTCATTTTAATGTCGTTTATTTATGTATAAATATAGAGGCCAATGGCCATGAAAAGGGGATCTTCCTCTCAAGAGAGAAATACTATAGCAATTTTCGTATCGATTTATAAGTTTTTTACATATTTATTTTTGTCCCTCAAGAATAATCTTTCCCACTTAACAAAATACTTGAGTGTGTGAATCCGACTTCCACAATTGGGCCGGGAGAGCTCTGTCTCGTCCTACTTGTGACCCCCCTTTTCAGGGACCGGGTGTTTCGACTCTTCATGCACAAGTATGGAAGCTTAAAACTACGCGGAAGCTTATGCATTTCGCGTGGTAATGTATCTCGGGTTGTCTAGCGACAAGCCAAAAACTTGTCTACCGACATATTGGTACCGACAAAGTTTGCCCTCGCTGCGGAGGGGAAGAAGAATCTATTAACCATCTTCTTTTTGAATGCCCGCCCTCGAGACAAATTTGGGCATTATCACCTATTCCCTCTTCCGGACACATCTTCCCTAGAAATTCCCTCTTCTACAACTTCGATTTCCTCTTCTGGCGAGGTCGAGAGTTTGGAATAGAGGAGGATGTTTTAGAACTCTTTCCATGGATACTATGGTATATCTGGAAAAGCCGTAATCGTTTTCTATTTGAAAACTTCAAAGAACCCCCTTTGGAGACTTTGGCCTTGGCTTTACGAGAAGCTTCTGTCTGGAAGCAAGCTAACTTGAAAGATGCGGCAGATCCCGAGCCTCTTGCCCGCTCAGTTCTACCCCACTCTTCTCTTCCCCGGATCTCGGAATGTTAGATTGATGCTTCCTGGCATACGGAGGATACCCTAAGTGGACATGGTTGGGTTTTAGTCGACCAAGACCACATTCTTCATCTTGGCCTAAAGAGTTCGAGAAGAAGTCTCTCACCGCTCCACGCGGAAATTGATTCCTTGCTTTAGGCAATGGAATGTATGATCTCGCTAGGCATTACCACTGGCGCCTTCGCATCCGATTGCTCTGACATGATTTCTCTCCTCGACAACCAAGACGTTTGGCCAACTTTTGCAGCAGAAATGACCTCTTTTCGGTCACTCGTTTGTTTTTTCCCTTCTTTTAATGTTAGATTTCTTCCTCGTAGTTCTAATACTCGAGCAGACTTGTTAGCCAAAAAAGCTCGGGCTCGTAACAGTCTCTTCTCCCATGTAAGTTCATCGGTTCCTGATTGGCTCTCTCTAGCGGAGAGTCTTTTTTTTTTTTTTGTTATCAAAAAAAAAAAAAGAAAGAAAGAGACTCTCCCGGAGAGTCTCTTTCCGATATCTTAATAGAAATGGTGTTTGATGAAAAAAAAAAAAAAAAAACTCAATGCATAGTGTAAAACTGTACACTACACTCAACCAACATTAGATCTCACTAACAAACTCCATCTAACAACAAAACAACTACTTAGAAAAACAAAAATCTACATCACGAGGAGTTCAACTATGGATTCTCATTACAAAATAGCTAACACCAAACTTCTTGGATTGCATGACGCAGATCTCGGTGAAGGTAGAATTGTTGAAAGGACTCATCGTTGTAAGATTGAAAATTACGCTTCAAAGCACGAATCCGATAGTGCCTTCCAGGGCCGGCCCATGGCTAAAGCCCATGAAGCGAGGGCTTTAGGCAGCAATAATTATAAGTAGTTTATGGGCATCATTTTTTAAAAATGTTACCGTGGTCTGTCCGAACATTATTAATGTCCAGGTCACAGTTTCGATTCCCATAAATGTTAAAACTTGTATTTTTTGCTTTTTTGACAGATTTTGTTAATGGGCCAAAAATATTTTTGCTTTAGGCATCCAAAGAATTTGGGCCGGTCCTGACTGCCTTCAAACAAGAAAAACAATGGGTCAAAGAAGTATTTCAACATAAGATAGGTCAAACAATGAGATAAGAAAAGGGAAAAATGCCAATTAAATGATGAACTTTTTCATTACGTCATTTTTAATCCTCAACTTTGCCTGAAACGATTTAAATAGTAAACTTTTTTTGACTTTCCATTTAAATGCCAAACTTTATTTGACTTTGCCATTTAAGACCCGACGTTAAGTCGATCAACGGAACAATTAAACGCCGATTAAATGCCGTTAATAGCTCCTCTTAAATTAAAACGATGCCGTTTTAATACACATAAACGACGTCGTTTTTTGAATTTACAAAACCCCAATCAAACTCATTTGCCCCAAATCGAAAAATCCCCAAACCCATAACCCTAGAAATCGAAAGCTTCAGATTTCTCTCATTCTCTTCTGGGATTTACTCATTCTCTTTTGGATTCATTCTTGTGATTCTCTCAACTTGGTATAATGAGTTCAAGTTCTATAACATCGAACGTTGTCGGAGTCCGTGGTGTGCCATCGAAGTGTAATCAATTTCTAGGGTTATGAACGTCGGGTCTTAAATGGAAAAGTCAAACAAAGTTTGACATTTAAATGGAAAGTCAAAGAAAGTTCAGCATTTAAATCGTTTCAGGAAAAGTTGGGGATTAAAAACGACGTAATGAAAAAGTTCAGCATTTAATTTGCATTATTCCCGATAAGAAAACAACTTCTTTACCGAATTAAGTCTAGCCAAATATCTTGACATCTTTGAATCCGATGATCATTTCCCTTATTTGGATTCCTTATTTTCAATTTAAGGTACATATTAAATATAGTTTTATATTAAATTTGTGCTATTTTTGGAACTTTGTAGATGATGTGCTAAATTTGGGAACAAAACTTAATATTCTCATTATTTGTAATTCATAGGATGCATGAGTACATTATTGTTCATATTCACCGACTTAAACCGGTGAACGGATAATTAACTCGGAATATCCCAATAACAAGAAAAACAAAATCTTTTCAATATCAGTTAACTTTCTTTTTTTTTTTCTAATAAAATGTATTAGTTAACTTGGGTTGTTCTGTCTTGCATCGCTATCTCTATCTTTATTATGTTCTTAATTTGGTGTGAAAAAAAAAATGAAAAATGCGGTGAGCGTGGATTGAATACGCGACCTTCAGATCTTCAGTGTGATGCTCACCCAACTGACGCATACATAGGATGCATGAGTACATTATTGTTCATATTCACCGACTTAAACCGTTGAACGTATAATTAACTCCGAATACAATAACAAGAATAAAAATCTTTTTAGTATCAGTTAACTTTTTTTTTTTTTATAAAATGTATCAGTTAACTTGGGTGTTCTGTCTTGTACCGCTATCTCTATCTTTATTATGTTCTTAATTTGGTATGAAAAAAAAAACAAAAATGAAAAATGCGGTGAGCGTTGATCGAACACGCTACCTTCAGATCTTCAGTCTGATGCTCTCCCAACTGACGCATACATAAGATGCATGAGTACATTATTATTCATATTCACCGACTTAAACCGGTGAACGGATAATTAACTCGGAATATCCCAATAACAAGAAAAAACAAATCTTTTCAATATCAATTAACTTTTTTTTTTTGATAAAATGTATCAGTTAACTTGGATTGTTATGTCTTGCATCACGATGTCTACCTTAATTATGTTTTTAATTTGGTGTGGAAAAAAAAATGAAAAATGCGGTGAGCGTGGATCGAACACGCGACCTTCAAATCTTCAGTCTGATCTCTCCCAACTAACGCATACATAGGATGCATGAATACATTAGTTTATATTCACCGACTTAACCGATGAACGGATAATTAACTATATCAATTAACTTTTTTTTTGATAAAATGTATCATTTAATTTGAGTTGTTCTATCTTGCATCGCTATCTCTATCTTTATTATGTTTTTAATTTGGTGTGAAAAAAAAACAAAAAAATGCGGTGAGCGTGGATCGAACACGCGACCTTCAGATCTTCAGTCTGACGCTCTCCCAACTGAGCTATCCCCGCATCATGCTTAATCACCTATTTTGTTTAATAAATCACTAGCTGAATTTTATAAGGAAGCTCCCGGTCCAATATGGTTACATGTTTGTGTCTTTTGTTTCATCATAAGCAATGAAATCCTTTAAAACTCGGGTTGATTACAAATCCAACGGATTTCTAGCATGGGACTTCCACTACATAATTTAACGTAATTGTGTTGGTTGGGAGAAAAAATAATTCGATAATTTTGTACTCTTGGACGATCTCATCACAGACAATGTTTCTAATGTTGTGTTTGGTCCTTTTACTTGGCTTGCTCTTCTTGTCTCAGATCAGTGTAATACTCACTGATCCATTTCTCAATCTCAGCAACTTCTTGCCTCCTCTGTTCATTCACGCAGGGTCGTCTTCGTAGCAGCCCTGAGATGTGTATGGTGAGTTCCTGCTTTAAACCAAACAGGGTTCAGTTTCCTTGTTCATTATATTGACATGGAATATGGAATGAGTGACTTACCCTTCTCTGCTCCATGGATCCTGCATTCTATTGGTATTGGAGAATATAATGTTGTTACCAAATCTCTTCAACACCATCTATATTCTCCGCAATTAACAGACTCGGATTAAAAGCTGAGCTTTAGGTCTGTTATTTGGAAAAGAAAAGAGAAAAAACTTGAACAAACCTCGGTGGTAGTCCAGTGGGGTCTTGGTCTCCTTTGTCATCATTTTCAAATGGTGGAAACATGTTCTGGTTCGAATAGTTTATTGGCATTACCATATCTGTGCAATCCTTTTTTTTTTCATATATCTGATAGTAGCACTGATCCATTAAGTAAGTTGAATAACAAGGAGAAACAGATAGACTCTTGAATACCTGCCAATCCCAACCATTGAATGAATCCATGAGGATCAGTTTGGTTTTCAATATCGAAGCAATTCTCTGAATCTGAATAGTTTGCAGCTGCAAATGCACGATCAAGTTTGCTGGCTTCTCCGTCTTCAATGATCTTGCAGACTGATGTAATAGGAGGATGTCTCATTGTGAATAAACCAGTACAATTAATAAAGATAGTACTTTGTACACTCTAACATGTATTACCTCCTCCACCGGATAAGCAGGCAGTGGAGCCATGGAATTTGATGGAGTTGGACAATTAACCATTGCTGTATCGATAAAGGCTGACTCTAGCCACCTTGAGGCTGAAGTGACAGAGTGAAGATCCCTGTGATTGTTAAGGATTAGACAATAGATCATCAAAAGATAGAGAGCGCAGCTTTGTCAACAATGAGGGAAAGCTGCAGATTTTTACTTCCAAGTTCTGAACTTTTTGTTGAGTTCTTGTAACCAGCTAGCTTTCATGGTGGAAAAAAACCTCCAGCTTCTCTTGATGACTTCAAACAGTTAACAATCACGTCCGGCTCTTAGCAAGAGGCATGAGAAGCTCTTAACAGCTTTCATTGAATATACTTTTTTGTACCAACTGTGTTAGAAATATACAGACCTTGAAATCCTGCGAAACGGTCTCATAGAAGCTTCAAGACGAATAATCTTATCAAACTGAAGAGTATGAGCGGAGGGTGCTAAAGCACCGATTGCTATATACGGATACTTAAGCCTGAACCAAGCTGGATTACCACCATGCACTTATCTCAATTCCAATCAAAATGGTCTCTTGTACATAGATTAGCTTGCGAAATAAAGTTCTTATAATGTAGACTCTCATCACTGATTAACAAGTGTGTTTGCAACCTATCAAGGAAAGAACAAAGAGTAACACCAGTCTTGTCCATGAAGCAGCTCGGACACAAAACAACTTTAACATGAAAACGTAAACTGCGTCAAGAAGTAATCACATGAAAAAAGCAATATAATTAAAAAGCTGATTCACCTCACAGTTGCTTTGAACGAAAGATGGATGCTCTACCACTCCTCTTCTCTAGAGGATAATGAAACTGTTTCAAGAAAGCTTTTGTCCAATCTCCCATCATGCAACATATTTAGTGACCAAAATTATTGTTGAAGCATCTCCACCAGACACAGCTGTGTCACCATCTCTAAGACGTACCCTAATTAGGTACCACTATTTGGGTTTTCTTTCATTTTATTGAACAAGGCATCTGCTTCCTCCTTTAAACCTCTCCTACAAAATCCTAAGATCATTGTGCTTCACTCCTTTAAGGCCGAGGCTACAAAATAATTCCCACCCAACTTCCACCTTCCCATGTAAACCTGAATGATTTCACGAGGACTCCTAAAACCGGTTAAGTAAACCTGAATCCGGTTTAGTTAACCGTCACTGGCACTTTTTGTATTTTTTCTTTAATGACCGAAATACCCTTTCATCGGTCCGAGTGTTGAATAATCATCTGAGGGTGAAACTGGAAATTGGGTACTATAAATTTCCCAAAAAGGAGAGATTTTTTAGGGTTCTTGACCTTCATTAGTTTAAGTATGAGGCTCTGCTCCCGGAGGTTGTTTTTTTGGGTTAAGCTCGACTATGATGATTCTTAAGAAGTCAATAGACCAGACATTGTGGTAACACTCTCTTTCATGGCAGGGCTATAAGGAATTAGCAGCCATGGCGGATGAGTATATCCTCTAATTTGTCTGAGAAAAGGCGAATCTGAGTCCTCTCCTGTGACATGCAAAGCTTTTATTTTTTTTAAGTGTAAAGTTTTGAGTTTTGAAAATGACAGAGCTTTTACAAATTGATGATTTTTGTCTTAAAATAGATCTTATTCAAGTGTTCTCAGTAGTGTGTTTCTTCTATATATCTATCATATAATTCACATGGATGTGAGCAATGGACATATGATTATTGTCAAATGAAAGATTTCAGATTCTAAACCCAAACTAGATACAATTAAGAAAAGAAAAGAGGGAAAATGTATGCTCTTTATTGTTAATTTAGAACTGTGAAAGCTTTCATACCATTATTGGTTTTCTTATAATGTTAAATGTGGACTCAAACGCTTAACTTCAATTGAGAGAATGAATGAAACAACAAATGGAGCAACTTGACTTGAAAAAAGCAGAATAAGCAGAGATTATTACGCAAAACACCTCCCTCAGGCAAAGACTCAATCACTTACTCTGCCCTGAATGTTAGATGGAGTATTAAGACTCATCAGATCTTTAAATCTTTCCAAATGCTAGCTACATTATGATAAGAAGGATGCTAAAGCCTACTCTTTCTCCAAATAAGTATGTCAGAGTCATCATAATTCCAATTGATGGAAAACAGAGAAAAGTTATCTCTTCCAATGCTTTCAAATTCAAAGAGAGTTTGTAATTTTAATTCAAGCAATGTAAAAAGTGTAAAGAAAGGATAGACTAACTCAAAACAATTGGTAATGAATAAAAAACTCCACATCTTTTGATATATATATTTTATACCCAAGAGCCAAGCAAGAAACAACGACTTGATCAAATATTATTCTGCACCACTACAACGAACATGAAGAGAGATATATATACAAGTCAATGTGATCCAATGGCATATCTTACCAATTCAAGATTTTATCATTAAACAAAACCCAATAAAGAAAGAAAGACAACGACATTGGACAGTACCCACCAAATTCTTTTGTATTTAAACAAAGTACACGGAAATATCAGGAAGACGTCAAAGTACAACAAAAAGTTTCAGACCAACCATCATCTGCAGAAGAGAGATAGTGCAAGAAGAAGCAAACAAAGTCAACAAAATCCAAACACATGTTTTCGTAAAGAATATGCTTAACAAACTACTCTGAATCAGAGTCTCTGATTTGACTCCTTCAATTTTACTGTGACCCCACTTCCTCCTAAAAAGTCGTCTCCTCAATCATCATCAGAGCAACAAATTTACCTTTAGTGGGTTCCAACTTCTCTGAAACAGAGGACCAAGTGTGTCCTTCAAGTCTTTTGCTAGATGAAGTTAACTGTTGGAGACTTGGTAAGCAGAGTGAGACAAGACCATCTTTGAACAAATGGGATGTCGGTAAGACTTTCTTCAATCTTCTCTTGTTTCCTTTTGCACCTTCAAAAAAATTCTTGATCATATCTTTCGAATCATCTCAATTCTGAAACCAACGGAATCTCTCACCTTTCCGCCTATTTTTGTGATCTCAGACTCAAGAAGAAGATATAGGCACAAGTGATACTCTGATTGGATCGTTGTTAGGGTCCATTTCTGAGGTGATCACATCTTTGGAGTCCTTGCAAGCAGAAACAGAGAGGTCCTCGAATGCGCTTGCTACTTTTATCGAGTTTCAGTTGTGTTAATGGAGATACAGACAGCAGAGAGCAACGTCGTATGTTCAATTGATATTTTTGAATCACTATCCGATAGTGTAGATGTGGCCAAGAATCTGGTTGAGAAATCTCAAGAAAGTAACGGAGCTGAATCAACTACTGATCTGAGAAGCATTGAGGCAGGTTTTGAAGGTGTTGTGAAGCAGATGGGTGAAACTTTGCAGTCCATACCCGAATCAACATTCGACGAGGAAGAATATATAGGAGTGGTTATTCAGTCTCTTTCAAATGAGATGCAGAATGCTAACATTGGAGATGGTAGTAAAAGTGAGATGATACAGAATGGGCAGCAGAAGATTTCTGCAAAGCATTCACCGGAAATTGTGTCAGAGCAAATGGAGGAAGATCTCTATCCCACTGATCCTGAATTTTCCTATGAAAGTTACATGATGTATAGTGAATCACAATCAATGACCGAAATACCAGATATCCCAAGCCAGAGCACATATGTTAGCCGCCAGAGAAAGCATGGAAATCATAGTGAATCACAATCACAAGTAACCGAAATACCAGATATCCCAAGCCAGAGCACATATGTTAGCAGCCAGAGAGAGCATGGAGATCTCAGTAAATCACAATCACAAATTACCGAAATACCAGATATCCCAAGCCAGAGCTCGAATGCTAGCAGCCAGAGAAAGTATGGAATTCTTAGCGAATCCTTGTCAATGTTACCACAGGTGACACAGTTCATGGAGCCTCCATACCAAGCTTTCATCTGCCCATTGACCAAAGAGATAATGGATGATCCTGTCACCACAGAAACAGGAGTAACCTGCGAAAGACAAGCAGTAATAGAGTGGTTTGACAGTTTTGGAAACTCCGATGAGATCAACTGTCCAGTTACCGGGCAAAAGTTGACCACTGAATTAAGTGAAAATGTTGTCTTGAAAACCATCATTCAGGAATGGAAAGTACGTAACGAGGCAGCAAGAATCAAAGTGGCTCATGCAGCTTTATCCTTAGGCGGTTCAGAAAGTATGGTTATCGACGCATTCAGAGATCTGCAAATGACCTGTGAAGGGAAACAGTACAACAAGGTACGAGTCCGTGAAGCTGGGATCATTCAGCTGCTTGATAGATACCTGACATACAGAAGTAAAGATGTGAGGTATGAGCTGCTACGGTTGTTAAGGACACTGGCGGATGAAGACACTGATGACGGAAAGGTTGGATCTCTTTTACTTACCCATTATGCAAGAGCACACTACCTTACATGATATGCGCTGCTGTATTTCTTTGTCCTAGACAAAGGACTTCTACTTCTTGTTTCAATAGATTTTTATGTTTCGAAGTATCTTACAGGAAATGATTACGAAGACAATAACTATGTCATGCATAATCAAACTTTTGGGAAGCAGTCACCAGCCTGTAAGACATGCAGCACAAGCCTTACTGCTTGAGCTTTCGAAATCCCAACATGCGTGTGAGAAGATTGGGACTGCTACAGGGGCGATATTGATGTTAGTTACCGCGAAGTATAACAGAGAGTTGGATGCCTTTGCATCTGAAACATCAGACAAAATCTTAAGAAATCTAGAGAAGTGTCCTGAGAATATCAAGCAAATGGCAGAGAGTGGGCTATTGGAACCTCTTCTGGGGCATCTAGCAGAAGGTAATTCATTACTGCTTTTCTCTCCAAAGTATATGGAGCTTAGTTACTATGTAAGCATTACCTGGGGTGAAATGATAAACAATGAATTGATGTTGATTAATATCAGTTTGCTTCCGAATGATATATGGCAGGGAGTGAAGAGACTCAGGTGGCAATGGCTGCGTACCTTGTGGAAATTGATATTGGACATGAGAAAAAAACTTACGTAGCTGAGAAGGCTTGCCCTGCGCTCATTGGGCTGGTGCAAAGTGAAAATACTGACGCTAGAAGAGCCGCCTTCAAAGCTCTAGCTCATATTTCATTGTATCACCCCAACAACCAGATATTGGTAGAAGTTGGCATCATCAAGATCATGGTCGAAGAGATGTTCACCAAGCGAGTTTTTAGTGATCTGATGAACTCCAGGAACGAAGCTGCTACAATACTTGCAAATATACTGGAATCTGGGCTGGAACATGAGACCTTTGAGGTGAATACTCATGGCCACACATTAGGCTCGGATTACTTTGTATACAACATCATCCAAATGCTCAAGAACTCAAGCCCAGACGATCTTAACATTAATTTGATCAGGATACTCCTATCCTTGTCCAAATCACCCAGGGCGATGGCAACAATTGTCTCAGTGATCAAAGAAACCGACGCAAGCTTCGCCATGATAGAACTCATCAACAATCCTCATGAAGAATTGGGGGTTGGAGCATTAAAACTTCTGATAGCACTTACCCCCTACATCGGTCACACGCTATCAGAGAGACTATGTAAAACTAGAGGCCAGCCAGAGAATCTTATCCAGTGCCCAGTAGAAGCAAATCAAATAACAGAAAAGCATGCTGTTTCAGCTAAGTTACTTGCTAAACTGCCTCATCAAAATCTGACTCTTAATTTAGCACTGGTCAACGAGAGCATAGTGTCTGAAATTCTGCATGCAATCCATCTGATTCAAAGAAGTGGAACACGAACAAGCAGGTATGCTACTGATTTTCTGGAAGGTCTCGTTGGCATCTTAGTGAGATTCACAACTACATTGTACGAGCCCCAAATGATGTACCTAGCCAGAAACCATGATTTGACATCAGTGTTTGTTGATTTATTGATGAAAACATCAAGCGACGAAGTTCAAAGGTTATCAGCGACTGGACTAGAAAATCTATCATCTACAACTATGACTTTATCGAGGCCACCTCAACCTAGGAGCACGAAATTCATGGGATCCCTGAGTATGCCTAGGTCTTTTTCCCTCCGTTCATCCAAAAAGAAGCAAATAGAAATCTGTGCAATCCACAGAGGGGTATGTTCTGCAAAAAACACATTTTGCTTGGTTGAAGCAAATGCAATCACGAAGCTACTAGCATGTTTGCAGAGTGATAAAGTAGAGGTAGTGGAGTCAGCATTAGCTGCTATATGCACGCTATTAGATGACAAGGTCGATGTGGAGAAGAGTTTAAGCATGCTGAGTGAAATGAATGCAGTACAACTAATTCTAAATGCAGTCAAAGAACACAAGAAAGAGTCTCTATTGCAGAAAGCATTTTGGATGATTGACAAGTTCATAATTAGAGGCGGAGATAAGTATGCCAGTGAAATATCACAAGATAGGATGCTGTCAGGTATGTTGGTTAGTGCCTTCCATCGTGGAGATGGTAACACAAGGCAGATGGCAGAAAATATTTTGAGGCGTTTGGACAAGATGCCAAGTTTCTCTACTTATATCACATAAAAAACTAACATGTCAAAATTTTTAACTGTTATGAACTATTGCTCTCTCTCTCTGCTCACTGTGTATAAAGTATTCAGTTTGAAATGTGATTTTATTACGTTGTGGTCACAAAAGAAATAGTAGTTCACATTCTCCTGACAACTTTGATCATTAAAACGTGAATACTTTGTTTATGGATCCACACGCCTTTATAGTACACCGATTTCCAGTTAGTGTATCGAAAGAACAGAAACTAAACCACCAATCTTCAACTTTATGATATATAAAATCACAAATCCAGTTAGCCCTTACCATTCATGTTCTCCAGCTTTGTCCATGTTGCAGTCAAATTATATGAACAATTCACCCAATTGGAGTCCAATGCAACTATTCAGGCTCCGAATCCTATTACAAAGATTGGCAGCACAAAAATAAAATTAGAAGACTAGCATCAGAAAATGAGAAAATATTGGAAGCAAAGAGAAATAAGTCTTACTTGAATCTACCCGGCTCTGTTTTGATTTTTCAGATTAGTGATGGAGATTCATCATGCTTTGCTCTATGTTCAGAAAATTCCAAGATAAAACCTACCAGAAATCTCCGCATGAGCAAGTTCCATCTTTAAAACGGTGAAACCTAACAGCATCTCTGACAAGTATCTCTCTACCAGTGACGCTTGAGATATGTTTAGTGGCATTGTGGCAATCCACACACACTCGAAGATTTTTTCCTACTCTAATAGGTAGGCCTGAGGGTACAAATATCAACCCAAAAGCAATTGCAAGCCTTTCACTGTGACAGTTAAGCATCTTTATTTTAACAGCTTCCTCGACATCATGGTGGACAAAACTGGTATCTGGTTTATAACCATTATCTATGATTTTTTGGTACAATTCCTCGAGCTTAGCATATATCTGATCTGAATATGGACTCGACTCGTCATCAGCTGAGAAACTGTGCAATTTTCCTTTCCATTTGATCCAACTCTGTCCGGGTTCTTTTCTCACGTTCTTCTCTTTCATTCCCCGCCTTAACTGGGCCACACAATCCCATTTCCCCTTTGAAGCATATATGCTTGATAATAGGGTATAGCCAGCAGGATGGTGAGGATCTAATTCTATGAGTGATTCAGCCGCCCATTTACCTATTTCCAAGTTACCTTTATTTCTACATGCGCTGAGTAAAGTAGTCCAACCAATTGCATCTGGACGAAACGGCATCCCATTTATGAAACCCATGGCTTCCTCTATCCTTCCAGATCTACTAAACAGATCGATCATGCAAGAATAATGGCCATTACTCGGCACTATTCCATATTCATTTATCATTAACTCAAAATATCTTTGTCCTTTCTCCACTAACCCTGCCCTGCTGCAAGCAGAAATAACACCGGTCAAAGTCACTCCATCAGGTTTTAGTCCTAGTTGAACCATTTTGTCAAACAACTGTATAGCCTCGACAGCCCTTCCAAATTGGGCATACGCAGAAACCATTGCAGTCCAAGAGACTTCATCCCTGACATTCATCTCGTTGAACAGCCTAGTAGAATCATCAATATCACCACATTTTCCATACAGAGTCACCAATGAATTCGAAACAGTGATGTAATGTATTAGGCCAGCAGTTATAGCTTTTCCATGAAACTGGGAGCCCTCTTCTAAGCTACTTATGTTGGCACACGCACTGATCGCTTGTCCTAGAGTATAATGATCTGGGTCAATTCCACTTCTTTGCATATCAAGGAAAATTTTAACAGCCTCTCCAGCACGCCCGGTCTGGCCATAACCCACAACCATTGCTGTCCAAGACACAACATTCTTCTGCTTCATTCTATCAAAAACAGTCTTTGCATAATGTAAACACTTACACTTGCAATACATGTCAATGAGAGCACTGCCTACATATATGTGATCCTGAAGATTGGTTCTGATTATACAAGCATGAATCTGTCTCCCATCGTTTATTGCTCCTAATCCTCCACAAGCAGGTAGTACACTTCCAAAAGGATATTGATCCATCTTCAAGCCTTCTATTTTCATCTCTCTGAAACATTCAATAGCCTCCTTTTCCATTCCATTTTGAGCAAGTCCTTTAATCATCGCTGACCAAGAAACTGAATCTTTCTCCATTCCTCGAAATAACTGCAGTGCATCTTCGATCATTCCACATGCTAGAAGTCCACCCATCAGCGTATTGTACATAACCGTATTTCTATCGTCCAGCCCGTAAAAAACCTTCTTTGCATCAGAGATGCAACCAACTTTTGAATACATATCCAACAATGGACTCCCAACTAAAAGATAAGACTCAAACCCAAGTTTGATAACCTGCCCATGAATCTGCTTCCCCAAACTAACATGCCCATTGCTAGAAGAAAGTTTCAACATTGTCATCAACGTAACCCTAGTCAAATTAGAAGAAAAATCTTTCATCATCGTGTTATAAGCCTTGACAGCGGCACCAACCAATCCACTCAAGGAATAGCCTTCAATAAGCACGTTCCAAGTGACACCATCACGATCAGGAAGCTTCTCAAAGGTACGTTCCATCTCTGAGAGATGCCCAGATTTTGAATAAGCCAAAAGAAGATTGTTCCAGGAGAAAAGGTTTGGTTGGGGAATTCCGTCGAACACTCGGCGTGCATAAATGGAGCTTCTGATTAAAGCATACGCGTGGACGATGTTGTTATGCAAAAACGTCTCTGGATGAGGAAGAGTTCTGATAATATTCCCATGGATCATCTTCACATGGCGACTCGCTCCCAACCCAATGCATTGCTTTATCTGAGCAGAGTAGTAGTTCGACGCCATACTCATCTTTGTTTTTTTGGGTATATAAAACATTTATAGTCAAATCTGATGGAACTAAACCAACCGGTTTAGTTGAATAAACCAGAGAGATCCGTTTGACTTTCTTTAGGCTTAGTCTACAACAATTCTGTAAATCTTTTTACTAATTAAAAAAAAAAAAGCATAGTTTCATTCTGATTTAAATACAAATAAAAATCTATTTTGCAAGTAAATGATTATTTAGTAGATTATTTTATTCTGTAATTTTTTAATATGCAGAATTATTTTCTTATCTAACATACCTAATCTCGTCTTCTTGTATTATACTGAATTAGTACAATTTATTTAGATCTTCTTGTTAAAGCCAAAATGAGTAATATGATATCAACAACAGAGGCAAAATATATAATATCCCAAAATAAGAAGAAAATCAACAATTTCTGATTATTCTACAAAGTTTATTAACATGAATTCATAATGTTCATACTTGAGTTATGAGAAATATGAGATTAAGATACATAACTTGATGAAGACATAACTCATATATAATATGATCTCATAACTCATCTCTTAAATATTTAAGTAGAAATTTATTTAATGATTGTTTTGTGAAAGTTTAAAGTAATCATGTCTGCTAAATAAAAAAAAGTACACAATTTTAGAGTCGGTGTTGTATATTTGGATGAGGAATCATTATCTCTTGTGCTCAAGAATTTTCCAAATCTGAATAATTTAATCTTCAAAATACAAAAAAAAAATCGTAGAAGCATCATATATTTATGCACAGATGATACACACAAATTTTTTGATTTTAACCTTCATGAAAAATTCATAAACTTGATGGATGAGATCGTGGATCATAATAACTGCTACAATCTCATCCATTAAGGAGCAATAGCTAATTTTCCACAAAACTGGAGTCTCCCAATCATTGCGGTAAGATTTTTACTATATTTATAATTTTTTATTTATTTTTATCAAATATGGAGTAAGAAGGTCGAAGGTAATGATGAAGACAAAAAAGCCTCTGAACATCATTTTGCAGGTGAACCATTAGTAATAGCGGTAAGTTCAATAAGTTTTCTTTGATCAATACTTTTAGACGTTTATAGGTTCGTAGATTTGGGGATTAGAGATCTTGCAATAGGTTTTTCAAGTTCTAGATTTGATCTGTTTGATGGTATATATGTGAAATTATTTTTATGATATTCACTTGTGATTAGACCGTTTGCAGTTCAAAAAGTGTTTCGCTAAAGATATCTTCAACCCATTACTCTATTTTTGATTCTAAATAGAGTTAGAGTTTTCTCTCGCATATTCATCTATTTCCCACTCTAAAAATAATATTCCAAATATATTTTTTCTTCACTTAATTATTCATTTTTAAAACAAAATTAGTTATCTAAATTGTGAATTTAACCTACTCACTTTATTGTAACTCAAAATTTCAATAAAAGTTATGTATTTTTAAGTAGAGAAATATTATTGTTATTGTATTTTGATGATTTATTTTTTCTATATAACTAGTTTTTAATTTACAAAATAAATTATCTACAACTTAATTAACTAAATGACTACAAATTGTGTTATAATATTGTTCAAGTAAAAGAAAACTTTAAATGTCAAAATATCATTTATAAACAAAAATAGTTTCACTCCATGATAGAGAAATGAAACTTTAAAATAGAGAACGAATAATATTACTTCAAATATAATAGTGTGTATCCTCTTTGGTTTGTAAAAAACAGGGCTTCTTAAAAAAAACATTTCTAGTTTCGTTGTTAAGACTTTTTTTCTCAAATATTCTTATGATTTCATTACTCCGACAATATGATACTCAGTCAAAAATCGTATCATCACTATACTCCATTGGATATCCTATTATACATTATAACATTTATTTGACAAATTTTCAAAACGAGTTATATTTTCATATAGCCGTATCAGGCATTTTCCGTCGTGACAACGAATCCACAATACAAATATTGAGATAGCAGAACAAACTAAAAATGTTATGACTTATACAAAACTATTTTGCAATGTTGGTGTTCACAATTTATACTCTTCTTCCACTAATCTCAAAGGCTTAGTAGTAGTAGTCGTAGTATCGTATTCGTTAATAGTAACATCATTATAATATAGTACATATAGTAACTTTTAAAAAGAAAAAAAAAAAAAGATTACAATAATTTAATATTCTATCTAACAAGAAGAAATATCATGGCTCAACCTTCATATTTGCAGCTGGGAGAGATGCTGTAATAAGAAAAAATTACAGAGAAGGTTTACCAAAAAAATTACTAATATCATTTGGTGAAAAAAAGGTAATACAGGTTTCAGATTTCACCTGTAGCTGCTGCTTGAGGGTCAGGTGTGACATCACCAGCTCCATAGTTAATGTGGATCACATTTTGCAAATCACCCTCCCATCCATTTGTTTCCTATTTTACAAAGTTAATCACCAACAAAATCAGATTATGAGCTCGGATTGTTCACTTTACAGACCACTAAATCGCTAATACATACCTGTCGCTTGAATCCACCATTCATAGAAGACAATGGAGAGCTAATGGTCCTTCCGATGCTGGAAAGGGTTTGTTGCATGAATCCATGTGGTAGAGGAGGATAAGCCATTGCCATATTTGGGGTGAATGGTGTTGTAGTAGATGAAGAACCAGCTCGTAGTTGAAGTGCCTGCGCATATAATTCAGTTTACTAGAACCTTAGGATGAGGAGAATTAGTTAAAAGACTTGCAAAAATAGCTTACATCTTTTGCAAGAAGACCTTCAAGGTTAAAGTCCATTTGTGGGTTCACAGTTGCAAGTTTCATCGATAAAAACTGTTTAAGCAAAAGAGAAGAAAATGAGAAAAAGAATTGATTTACAAAAAGCAAACACAAAGAGCACTTCGTTGAGAATTAGGAAATGTCATACCTCAACTTGGCGTTGTAGTGATTGTACGTAGTTTATGATTTCGTCAAGCATAACTGCCTTCCCAGTCACCTGCAAACACACAATTTATTTTTCTGCATTAGCGTTGTCTCTGTTCTTACATATTAATATCCATCATTATCAACAAAGACCTTACCTTGTTGCAACCCGGTACAAGATCTTGAAGAAACTTCATCCTTTCACTAATTTTTTCTCTCCTAACCTATAATCACAAAGTTAATTAGATGAAAATACCATAAAAGATAGCTTCTACTCAACTTCCAAGATAGTTGTAGAAATTCTACTCTTTCTGCAAGACTATGGCTATTTGTAGCCTGGCCTCTTCGTGCCCGCACATGAATATATCCATCTTTTGGAAGATCAGAACTTTGTTTGCCTTGTCGTTTCCCACTGTTTGTCTTGTTTCCAGGTGAATTTGGACTTTGCTCACTATTCCGCTTTTTATCACCATTATTGTCTGGTTCTTCCTCAGATTGCTGAGATCTGTGTGACTGAGCTGCTTCAGAATTCTACAAACCGAAAAGATTACGAATGTTAAAAAGAAACATAAAAAGGCTGAGAGAACAAAAATAGAAGAGTAACTTCAAATCTTCACCTGCCCATTTCTTTTCCTCTTCTTTGTGTTGGAAGAAGTTTCTCTACCTTTCCGACCGTTACCACCACTAGACTGAGTATCCTCGGATACATTGCCCGATCCAGGAACATTCGGTTTAGCTTGTTCACAAGATCTAACAGTTGGGTCTTTCACTGCTGTAGATACATCATTGTGAGGTTCACCAACATTAAGTTCATCACATTGACACTGCCCTTGCATTGTTCCACCACCTTGAAGAAACAAACCAATCGACTCAGGATTCCCAAGTGGTTGATTCACCATATCACTAAAATTCCCACCACTAAAAAGCGAAAACCTCGCAGCACGCTCTATGAACCCTGAATCAGCCGGGAACTGAGCCATACTCGGAGGAAGGAAAGTACTCGCATTCGGCAGGAAAAGACCATTGCCTTTAGGAGGCAACAAATTAGGCAAGTTCCAACCCATTTCAAGAGATCTATCAATATTACCCCTAAACGAAGAAGACGAAGCATTACCACCATTGTTCTGGACACTAAAACCGCCATAACCCATAGCCTGAACACTAGTGGGATCATACCAAAGAGTTTGCCCAAATGAATCCATCATCTGAGATGGAGAACAAGACGCAGGACCAGCTGATATCAGATTCTCTGAAGGATATGAATCAATCGGGTTAGAACCCGAAACTCGCCAATCTCCAGACGGATTATTAACCGAATCATAGTTATCAGGATTCCTCTTCTCTGCTGAAAACTCATCTTTCTCACTTAAATCCATCTTCAATTCTAAAACTTGATGAACACCACTAATCAAAAAACCTCCAAGATCAAAACCACTACAAACCAACCACCACACAAACACATTCAACTTCGTTTTTTAGTGATACATCCACCTTGAAGAACAATGATTCAATGAAGAACAAGAGAAACCCAAATCACTAGATTCAGAAAAGGAACAGTATCAGTCAACGGAAGACAAAAAGGATCATGATTTATCCGTGCAAACTCCAAAAACCCTAAACCAGATTTAAGCTAATAATCGAGCTAAAAGAGTCAGAAGAAAGATACCCATATTACAGAATATGTGCCACCACTTTATGAACAAATTTTGAATCTTTTTCCTCAATTTCTAACAACAAAAGCTGAATTGAAACTGGGTCCTTTGGGTCAGATAATAAAAACCCTTTTCTCTGTTCTTCAGCTGCAGAGAGAGAGAGAGAGAGACAGAGAGAGAAAAAGATAAGCAAACGAGTGGTTTTTTTTAGAAATGGAGAAGAAAAAAAAAAAGGAAGTGAAGAAGAAGAAGAAAGGAGAAGAAAAATAAAATCGGAAAAGGTTCTGGATTTATACCCACGCTTGCATAAAAAACAGAGCTTTTTGATCATTAAACATAAACACCGCCATAGCCAAAGTATTCAAGCATTATAATTTGCAGCGGATTATTTTTTTATTTTTTTTTTTGAGCTAAAAGGTTTAGTTTCAAAGATTGGTTAAAATTGATTTGATTAGTTAAATCTGTATGGTTTAATTTAAACACGTAGTTATTCCAATTATTACAATCAGTTGACAGTGACAACTTTCATTTTGGGGTTATTTTATTCTACTATTATTTTATTTTATTTTTTGTTATTAAAATCCTCGAAAAACAGGCTTTCATGATTTCCTTTTCTTGTTTTTATAATTAATGAATTAGGTTTGTCTGGTAAAATATTATTTCCTTTAAAATCCATCTAGCTTAAGCTTACTTTATACAATATTTTTAATTGTCTTACTATAAATATCGAAATAATTTTACACAAATATTAGTGTAAAGACTATTTTCCTTACCAAAAAAAAAAGTGTAAAGACTATTTTTATGAGCTTACTTTTAGTCAGTCTTTACACTTTTTTTTTTGGTCAACACTTATTTTTTTAGTCAGTCATGTCTTACATGTGCATACTTTTATGATTTTATCAGCTAGTTTCAATGTTGAATAAGTTCAAGTTTCCATATTCAAATGTTTTTTTTTTCATATACTATAAAAAGAGGGTTAATCTTTCTATTGCCCAGTGTTTATATAAAATACTATATGGTAGAATAATGCTTGCGAATAATCATAACAATTATTGGTTTCATGTTCAATGTTTTGGATTTTGTACCGAATCATAGGTAAATTCTTAAACAAATACTTTTATTTTCATGCACGGTTTGTTGGAGATTTATTATTATTTTTTTTTAAAGTTATTTTTGTGTCTTTTGACCGCTTGCTTTCGCTCAAGAATATTTTTTTCAGCTCAAGTCTAGATGTAAACAGTACTGCTAAGACTTACTACTAAAATATTCATAGCAATTACAATAATGTTAAAAATTTTAAAATAATATTTCATTGTTGAACATATAATTAGATCTTTTACTGTATCTTGGAATAGTTTAGTTTAATTAGATATTCAAGTTGTTACATTCTGTCAGTTTAGGCAACTTGAGAGTTGAGAAACTTTATTCTAATAAAAATTATTCGTACATCTTGGTTAGTCAAATAATCTACGAGATCTTCGTGGTCGATAGAGGTCTTAAACTACAATTATTTTGCTAGCGAGAAAAAAGATTACAATTATTTCTTAGGCTTTTCAAAAAATATATCCTTCTATAGTTCTATTATTGACATTGGACAACGCAGTGGAATTCTCCACTTTTCATTTTATAAATATCTTAAAAATAATTTGATTAGTCGTAATCATACTTAAACTATTACTCTTTTCTTATTAAAAAAAAACGATTACTCCATTAAACCGGTGCCAATTCTGGTTCGACTCCTTTTGTACTTCATCACAAAGCGAACAAACTCAATCCTCACGAAGTGTTAGTGTGTTACTCGGAGGTTATTTTTGGGTATTTTCGGATATTTTGGATATTTTTGGTTATTTTCGAGTATTTTTAGGTATTTTTGATTATTTGGAGATAAATAACTAATATTTTTGGACATATAATAGTATTTCGGGTATTTTTGGTTACTTAAAGTATTTCGGTTCGGTACCAATTTTAAAATTTAGTATCCATTCAAATATTTTCAAATTTTCGGTTAAGTTTAGTTCGGTTCTTTCTATTTCGGATACAATGGATACGATTCGATCCTTCGATTCGATTAATTATTTAATTTGCCCAAACCTACTTCTTAGTTTAAGAATATTGAAATGGAGTATAAAATAAATTACCAATCGATGGCCATAATTACTTAAGTTTAATTATAAAAGTTAACAAGGTGTATTTTATTAACTAGGTAAATGATTACTAACGCTAATTGTTTATTTTTTTCTCCTACCATCAATATTTCTATGAATCATGAACAAGTGTAAAAGGAAGAGTAGATGGACGGTCCGGTTAGCGCAAAGATCGAGGTCATTATTAGTTGGCCTTGGGACTTGCAATTTCCAAAGACCTAAAAAACTAAACCTTATAATAATTGAATTCTCCAGCCCACACCTTCACTTTATCTTCTCTTTTTCTATTTTTTAATTCTCTAATTATTAACCATAGTTTAACTTTTTGTTTAACAATTAACCCAACCATTTCCTTTTTTAGGTTTTGAATCATAGTTTAAGCTTAGGGTGCTTAATTAAAATGTCAATATTGATTATCTCCACTATGTACCTAGTCATTTGTTTTACCCATGCAGTAAGAGAATAAGTATTATTTTGGACTTTTAGGCATATGAAATATACTTTGCCAAAAAAAAAAAAGGCATATGAAATATATATATATATATATATATATATATATATAAATTATGTTTGACGACAAGAAAATTGTAGTTTTTATCAGTTTGTTAAGTAACACTAGTAATATATTTATATTTAAAGAAGATCAAACAAATCCAAACAACCGGACAAACATTATATCAAATAGTATATTATCAGTGATATTATCAAATTGTAGAACGCCTAGAATAGAAAAAAAAAACAATTTAAGCTGTAGAACGATTTTTGTTATATATATAACCAAGTTTGTTTTAACTATGCTCTAAAAATGGTATCGAGTTATCACCTAAATTTATTCTAGCAACATAACTTTGACACGTCCTAATAATTATGTAGGTAAAGGTTCGAATCAGTGTTGTTGACGGACGAACTAACCTATGAACAGATTAGATTATTTATATATATATATATTTTTTGACAGCAGATTATTTCTATTTTTTGAGAGGGACAATAAGTCAAATGTCTAATGTCTTAAGTCTTAACATGCACTATATAACAATAATGCATGAACGACGTAACTAATAATGGTAAGTGAGACGATCTTTTTGTCCATGCATATACAAAACAAACAATCTTATGATGTATTTCAACAAATGTTGTTCACGTACATCAAGGTGATTTCTATACGTTCGTGATTCTATACATAGTTACGGCCACTTAAGAGCCCAATCATAATCACCCTCGTCTCATCCAAGTGATCTTTCTGTCATATTCTTAACATTTCACCATAATAACTGCCTATAAAGACGATCATTCCCATTTCACCACCATACACAACTAAACCAGAGTAAACAGAGTAATCACATCGTTGGTCTCAAGTCTCAACCATATGTTGACAGCGAACAAGTTATCTCAATTGCAGATATACATTAATTCATCATGTTTAGGCACCGTCACAAAATTAAATTAGAGTAGATACATGTCATAAATTCAATATAATTTCATTATACTTACATGCTATTCTATAATAAATTGTACTAGCTTCGAGAATTAAATTGTATATTAACAAAAAAAAAAGAATATTTCAAATTTTGATTTTTTAAATACAAAATATCAGTGTTGATAATCTTAAAAGTGATTGTATCATGTTATTATACATGTTATCAAAGACAAAAATAGGGTAAATCAATTTTTTTTTTTAAGTGTTGAAATATTACATTAATTGTCTAACTATATTATCGTAAGGTTACAGTTATATTTAGGCCTTTTCAGCTGTAACCAATAAGAGATGCTTAAGCAGTCGTTCTTCTTCCTTACCAAATAATTCAACGTCCACCACAACATAGCACTCCCGCTAACATACGCAGGAAACACTAACATGCGCGGCTCTTTCTTTATCATTGGATGACCTGTAAACAACCTCCGCGCATTTTAGCATCATTTTTCTGTCGCCAGAAAATACGGTACCACTCTTGAAAGGCAAAATTGAAGTTCGTTGACGGAGTAAAGGCTCTCTCTGTTTATTCATCTACTCGAATTACAGATTTTCATCGGTAAAGTTTTGATCTTTCCAGATCCTGTTTGAATCTTGAACTCTCTGGTTTTCTCTGTTTCTAACTGTTTATTCTTGTTGAATTTTGATCTTTTTGTTCTGCTTTTATGGTAAAGTTTGAATCTTGTTGTAGTAAAATTGCTAAATTAGTAAGAAATTTCTGGTGGATCTCTTTGAAATGCTGAGTCTTTACAAGTATGTAACACTAACTGACTTGGCTTCTTGACAAGTGGATTCTTCTCAAATTGACTTCTCTTTGCATAGGTTTTGTGACAAAGTATGGATTTTGATTTGGTTGGCACTTACTATAATGTGTTTCTGGGAAGGACGTTTTAGTTGATGAATGATTTCCTTGGTTTCATATAAGAAGAATTAGCTATGACTAGTGCTAGGATTGGAACTCGAGGCCATTGTAGTGAGAGAGAGAAGAAAAGTGTTTATATTCTCTAGGCAAGAGAATGTGTTAATTGAGAACTAGTAGATTGGGAGATGAGCATTGTCTCCTTTTTTTAAGTAGGCGATATTGCGATAACTCCATTCGAAAGATAGTGCCTTTACCTAAGTATCCATTTTCCTAGACAAATTCATAGTCACAAACTTACAATGTAATCATTTTGATTTTTTCCATTTTTTCTTGTTTTTAGCTAAGCTTTGAAATTTTGATTTGCAGGCCAAGAATGGAGGAAATCATTAGGGAGGAACATGGTGAAGCTGTGTCAAGTAGGAGTGAGGAGGAGCAAGAGATGTTGAGGATGTTGACAAAATTAGAGATAGACTCAGCTTATACTAGTGAGAAGCTGCTGAACCTGCATGTTCTTCTTATGCATCTTTTGGCATGGGATAATGATCTTGAAGGGATGGGGACACCTGATTCTTCTCCAGCATCCTTTGAAAAAGCTTTGGCGTTTGATCTGTTATGCGGTATATTGGAGTCTGAGTTAAAGGAGGTGGACGAGGTTTTGGATGTGTTGGAAGCTCAAATCGTTGACACTTCTTATAAGATATCATCTTGCAAACATGGAAATTATATCGTTGTCGAAGGCAAGTTGGGTGAATCTGCAGAATCCTTGAAGCAGTCTAGAGGACAAGTCTCAGAGATCACTTTGCAATTAGCTCAGCTCCGAAGAACACTTCATTACATAAGAAATGGAACAAGTAATCACTTTTGATATATGGTCATAAAAAGTTTTTTGTGCTTTGGTTCTCTTAGCTTCTCGTTGTTATTGACAAAAATGTTGGCAGGTGAAAACGAGGAGTCAGTGGAGTTTTCAGGAAGCGGTCAAGATTTAAGGCAGAAATATGCGCTGAAACCATCGGACTTAAGGCATAAAAATGCTTTGAGGATGCTAGAGAAGTCATTGTCAAGAGAGCTAGAGCTTGAGAAGAAGTTAATGGAATTCCAGCAAAATGAAGAACAATTGAAACTCAAGCTACACTACACAGAGGAGGTATCTTCTCGGATGGAAGAAGCATCAGAGTTTATATGGGGTCGGTTTCTAGAGGCAGATAATTCTTCAGAGGTGCTTACGGGTATTTCAAAAGAACTTGTTGGTCGTCTACAGATTCTCCAGTTTAGTCTGAATGGGTCAGCCCAACGGGAATCCGAACTTAAGTCTAAGCTTGAAGATTGCACTGTACAGCTCGAAACGAAAGATCTTCTGGTGCAAAAGCTTGAGGGAACAATTGCAGCAAATAGTGAGATAGTTTCAGAAGTACTCACTTTGAGGGAATATGTGAAGTCAGCTGAACAAAAACTGAAAAATACCGAGCTTGAGCTGAAAAGTGTCAACGCCTCTAAACAAGAAATCCTGGTACATCTAGCTGAAATGGAAAATGCAAATGAGTCGGTCAAAGAAAACCTTTACGAGGCTGAAAGCAGAGCTGAGACTGGAGAAGCTAAGATTAAAGAGCTAAATGCTGCAAATGTTGAACTTACTGAGGAACTAAATTTTCTCAAAGATGCTGATGATAAAAAGACAAAGAAGGTGAACTCTCTCGAGAAGCAAGTCAGGGAATTAGAAGTTCAAGTACAAAACTCCAAGGTATCATCAGAAGCAAGTCAAGAACAGCAGAACATGTTGTATTCAGCAATATGGGACATGGAGACCTTAATCGAAGATCTCAAGTCTAAAGCCTCAAAAGCCGAGAGTAGAATGGAGACAGTGGAGGAGCAATGCATCGTGCTTTCTACCACAAACTCTGAACTCAACAAAGACGTGACCTTTTTAAGGCAAAAAGCCAAATCCATAGAAGCATTGTTGGATGTAGCTAACGATGAGAAAGAGAGGTATGCACAAGAAATAACTACAAGGAACAAGGTTTTGATGGATATGCTGTTGCAATTATCCAGTGAAAGGGAGCGTATACAAGAGCAGGTACTTTTGGCTAAGTGCATAAGTGTTTTCTTTAGGGACACAAAAGCAAAGCATTGTTGACACATTAATGTTATTTGTCTCCAGCTATATTCTTTGGCTAAGGAAAACAAAATACTGAGAGTGAATCAATGCTCAAATACATACCAAAAAAATGGATCTTATGCTGGGGACAAAGAGCTGCCGTTTCACGCAGATGGTCACGGAATAGAGGCACTTGCTGAAAGTCTGCAGGCAGGTATTCAGTTTATTTTTCCACAAGAAAAGGCGATATTCCTTGTAATTTATTGTGTATTAGTGTATAGCTTTGATGCTTCTGAAGAATGATAGATGGGACAAAATATAGATCGTAGTTGAATGTGAAAACCAGAACCTCTCTTTTTACTAGTCTTATGTGGTCTTTGCTCTCTTTGAACAGAAGGATGAGAGAACAAGGAAAGAACCAGAGAACCAGTCTGTGTCTGAAAAGAGTAGCACGTGCACGGAGATCAGAAGGGCAAGCAACTTGAAACACATACCAGTTTTGGCCTTAGTTTTTGTGCTGTTATGTTCATTCTTTGGTGTGACTTATTAAGGAAATATATCTTCAGTGAAAATGTCTTGGCAATAGCATTCGCCATTTGTACATTGTGTTGTAAATACTCATTTATCTTGTATTTATTACAAGCAATGTATATCTCAAGTGTTGGTTTATCTCCTCCCTCTACAAAAACAAAACATTCCCTTTCAATTATTAAGTGATTTCCTAAAATGGAGTGATCTCACAAGTTGGACTAAAACAAAGTGTAATAAAAAAAAAATCAGACTAAACTTGGTAAAACCTTCACACAAAAGATTTGTTGCCATTTAACTTCCTTCTATATAAGAGGAAAATCTGAATTCTCTCTTCATCACTTGTACAATAAAAAAAGAAACAAGAAAGGATTTTGAGGTTAAAATTTGCAATGGAGAAAATGTCTCTCAAGCTCGTCTTCTTGTTCTCCCTCACAGTCATATCATTTTGTAATGCTTCCTTGTATGATAACTTCTTCTTTGTCATACAATTTTTTTTGCTGCGGTTTTGTTTGAAGTTTTGTTGTGTGTGTATTTGTGAAGGTTTGTCTTTGAGTGCCGCGAGGGAGATGGCGAAAGAAGAAGTGAATTGCATCGGCGGCCATTGTCCTGATGGAAAGAAGAACTGTAACTGCTTGCTTCCTATAGCACCAACAATGGACATTTATGAGACCAATGCATCTTGCCTCGTAGATAACGAATGCATCAAGTACTGTCCTAAGAGCTGCAAGATTGTGAACTGTAATTTTGGAACCTGTTTGTGTGAGTATTGTTAAAGAGATTAGAAACCATCATAACTTATAAGACAGAGAGAGGAACAAATGATATTCAAATACATATATAAAATTGTTTAATGCAGTCTATTATTCTCCTTGTAAAAAATATCTCTGCATCACTCTATACAATTGGAATTTGATACAATTAAGTTCTGAATGCCTGAAACAGGTTCCAAATATGTTTTACATATCTTTTAGTGCTAACAAGAGTTTCTGAAAAAGCTCTCTATCTCTCTGCAGAACATTTGCACACTCTTGTTAGAAATTTTCTAAGAGCTAGCAAGAATCACGCGAAGACGGCATGAATTTGACATGGTAGAGGATACATCAATGTCTTTCTCGCGGCAAGGCATTGTGGAAAACAATTTATCTATATTAGCATGTAGAGACATTGTTTTGTTTGTTTTGTTAGGTTCATCAAGCAACTTGAGACACATACAAGTTTTGGCCCTACTTTTTGTGCTGTTTCTTTCATTCTTTTGTTAAAGGAAATTTTGATTCAATATTGAAAATGTCTTTGGATTCTCTTGGCAATAGCATTCACTATTTGTAAATACTCATTATCTCTTGTATTTATAACACAAACTATGTATATGGTTTATTTCCCTCTACAACAACAAAATCAACAAATTATAAAATGATTTCCTAAAATGGAGAAATCTCACAAGTTGGATTAAAACAATGAGTAATCAAACTTGGTATATAAAAGAAGACAATCTGACTTCTCTCTTCTTAACTTGTACTATCAAAATAAACAAGAAAAGATTTCGAGATTATTTACAATGGAGAAAACATCTCTCAAGCTTGTCTTCTTGTTCTCCCTCACAATCATAGCATTTTGTATGCTTCTTCTATGATAACTTCTCTTTTTAATATAATTGTTTTTGCTTTGGTCTTGTTTTGACGTATGTGGTGTGTATTTGTGAACAAGGCTCGTCTTTAGGTGATGCCAGAGAGATGGTGAAAGAAGAAGTGAATTGCATCGGCGGCAAATGTCCCAAAGGAAAGAAGAACTGTAATTGCTTGCCGCCGATAGCACATAAAATGGACAATCGACCTGCAACAAGTACTGTCCTAGGGAATGCGAGCTTGGAACCTGTGTCTGTTCGTGTGACTATGGTTGTACATGTACCTGTTGAGCGTTAAAATAGTGAGACAGAGAGAGACTATCAATTAGTATCTATATAATAGTGTTTGAATCAATTTATTATTATTCTTGAAAACATATATCTGAAGCTAATACAATTGGAATTTGAAATAGTTGAGCACTAAAGGCCTGAAACTGGTCCAATCATATGATCATAACCATGTCTTCATGTTTCAAATCTGTTTTACATTTCTTTTAGTGCTAACAAGAGCTTCTGAGAAAGCTGTCTCTGTGAACTTTTGTGCACTCTTGTTAAGAATTTTCTAAGGGCGAGAATCATGCGAAGAGGGCTCTCGAGATGGACAGCGTGACCAGCCTCTGGGATTTCAACCATCTCGATGATATTGTTTACGCTCTTCTTGCTTTTACTCATCTCGCGGTACATTCTAGTAGCGATTTGCTTGAATTTGACATCTTTCTCTCCGAATACGAGCGAGATATTTGTATCACAATCCTCCAACTCTTCCCACAATGACCTATTTTTCAAAGGGGGCAACATCATCATAGATCAGACATTATCGCATTTGAATCAAATTCATAAAAAATATAAATAGTTGCAAGCAACATGAACTTACGGTTGTCTCCCACTGCTTAGATCAGACAGGAGCTTTGCAACACTAGGAACATCGTCATGTAGCAAGCGGCTTGCAGCTATTTTACTAAAATGGGGATGATTTCTCAAGCTAGTCATTGTAAAAATCGCTCATGTGAGTGATCAGTTTAAGTCCGGAGAACAAAAAAAAGATATTAACAAAGTTGTATGTACTAAGAAAGTCACCTCTTCCACAAGCCTCCATTGTACCAGTTCTCTAGAAAGATTTCTAGTCCATTGTCAACCATCATTCGTGCTTTGGAATCATCTGTAGCACTTCGAACTTTCCTTGCAACTGGATCCTTGAGTCCCGGGCTCCCTGATACCACGACAGCTCCTTCGATCTATAGAACAGCATCCAAATACCATTATACGCATCATTAAACAATGTTAAATTTCCAGACTAAGGGAACCCACCTTGTTGCTAAACCTCAAAGCCATGTACAGTGCTATTCTTGCTCCCATGGAATATCCAACTATAGTTACTTTCCCAGGAGTAATTTGCTCAATCAACTTATACAATGCCTTCGCTATCATCTCCATTGAGAAAGTTGGGGCCGTCTGGGTCTCACTAGCATGACTTTGTACCCTTGACCTTCCGTGACCAGGAATATCGACTGAAATGCATCTCGCAGATCCCGAGATACCCTTCATGATGGGGATCCATTCTTCACCAGTTCCAAGAAATCCATGAAGAAACAAAGCTACACTTCCCTGAAAAATGTATTACAGCAGAGTGAAAAACAAGAGAGAAATTGACGAAGAACAGCTTTATATCTTTTTAGCTTCGGAGATACAAAATCACAAACAAGGCCAAGCTTACTTCTGCATTCTGCCCAACGTCGTGGACTCTAATGAAATGAGAGAACCCATCTACATCCACCCTCAGTTCATACCTCTGGACAGGAATTTCTTTACTGGTTCTAACAATAACATTGTTGTTTATCTTAACATCCTTTAGATTTATACTAGCATCAGCAACAAATCCTTCAACAAATCCACTATAAGGGCTACGAAATATCCCTAATGTATTCATCATTACGTCTTCACTAAGCCACCGATAAGTTCCAAGACCATGGGCTACAGAAGGGGATGTTCCTTGCTTCTGCTCTGTGGATGCTTTGACGTTTACCATCTCCAAATATGATGCAAATAAAATATATGCTGATAAACCTAGGCCACTTTCGTATGCAGCACTAATAACAGCCATTTTTCCATGCTTCTGTGCCCACCGAGCAATCAGGGCTGCATTCTCAAACCCTCCCACAACACTTGGTTTAATAACCTACAATTCCAAGTATGATCAAACAAAGTCAAGCCTATATAATTTGAAAGCAAAAATGAAATAAGATAGAGCCGATAATTTAAAATGATAGTGCCGATATATTATGATTGTACCAACAAAAACTTAAGAACCACCTCCAAATCAATCAAAAAGGGGAGGCAAGATTAAATGATCATCAAAGAAATTAGCACACAAGAAAGAACATATGTTTTGACAGTGTCAGGCTCATGTAAATGATGTAAAAAATGACCAGGGGCTTACAACAGCAACTATTCCAGGATGGGTATATTTGGTAAGCATACGTAGAGGACATTCCTCAAAATCATCAAGAGTCTCATCAAGTGCCACTGGTAATCCAGTTTCTTCATGAAACCTTATAAGGTCATCTTTATTCTGGACAGGTTCCTGAGATATACAAAAAGTTCATCACTGAAGTTATATAGGCAACAGATATCAGTTATTTTGGAGTAATACTTCAGAACACAATCAGATTGCGATGATAATTCATACTGTACCAGACCTCAATATATTTTAAATTACAGCTTTTCACCAACAAACCAAACTCTGTAGCCTCTTCAAAAGTCCAACGACAATTTGCGTCTGCACGGAGTTCAATTTGATCGCCAACGGCTCTCCTTACTTCTTGCATAACTAAAGCATCTTGAACAGAGTTCACTCGACGACCAACCTGTCATTTTAGGCAGGTTTGTCCCTCAGTCAGCAATCGATAGCTTGAAAATGGAAAGTGAGAAAGCCAACCACCTCAATTTATGCATGAAAATGCTAACACTGAGTCATAAGTTTAATAGCGTTGAACGTTAAGAAAGCCAACACTCAATCATAAAATAAAATAATAATCCAGCTATCTTACTTGATAATTGAGTGTAATCTTGTTTGTATGATTAAAAAACGTTGGCTTACTTTAAGTTTAATAGCACTGAACCCTTCTTCAACAAGTTTTCTAGCAACGTATGCGACCTCCAATGCGGTACCTTCAGAATCAAGAAGGGCACATATTTGAGCAGAATGTGGCTGAGCAGAACCATTTTCGTCTTTCTGATAATGAAGTATCCCCAACAAACTAGAATCATGTCTTACTGCCATAGCATTTAGAAGAGCCATTTCCAGACCACATCTGACACTAGGGAAAATCGATGATGCCTAAGAAAAAAGAAGGAAATTGATAAGCCTTCAATTATGATTCCCAGGCAATTATTCGTCTGTAGATAGTTTTCTATTTCTTAACAAGAAGACTACGAAGATCCAGAATTTTTGCACCTAGCAAGATTGAAAAAAATGAAGAACTAGCAGTCTATCTTGCGGAACAGTCTTTTACTTTGCAATTTCTCCTGATAGAGAGCAGCTGTATGGATTAAACTAATTTTCTTCTGACAGAACTAAGGCTAGGGAAGCTTACAGTAATTCCAAGTTCACTCCAAATCCAGGAAGAAATAGAGCCATTTAACAAAGGAAGCATGTAACTAAATTTAGCTCCATTCATGAGGTGAAGAACTAACTGAAGCTGCCCCTCAACATCCATTAAGTTCTCTACATTACTGTCCAGAGGTGCAACCTGCTCATGAAACACAATACGAGAACATGATTCTCAGTGTAAGTTTAATACAAGCTAATCATCTGGCAGTGGGACCTGGGAGAAGTAACACAAATGTAAAAGAATGTACTATATACTGATGAAAAGTTAAAAAGAATAAAATAGTCAACCTCTCCATAGCCAATGCTTCCATCCTCCAAAGTGAGGGAGAGTATAAATCCTTCTCGATGGAATTGAGAGAATTCATCAGAACATATGGTAGGTCTGTCACACAGTTTGACTCTGCAAATAGAGTTTTTATTAGACAAAAAGAAAAAGAAAACGGTAATATTCAGATTTAGTCTCTGAGGAATTCTTACCTGTACTTCGAATATTGTATTCCAGAGACTTGGCAAAGAAGTACATTTCCGATCATCGGATGAAGAAGAGAACTGGTAGAGATAATGCCCAGGGAATTTTCTGCAGCTTGGCGTGCAAACCTCTCCAAAGTGCTGTGAACAAGTATTAAATGTCAACAAAGAGCACGAGAAGTGAGGACATGTAAAACCCAAAAATAAAACAAAAGCCCAAGACAACCTATGAACGATTGCGTTAGCGTTTATAGAGCTTTCAACCTCCACAATGGAATCCATCTCTTCCACGCTGGGTACAAATAGAGCATCATCAAGTTCACTTTTCGTCCCAACGTGTACATACCTCACACTGCATATATAGTAATTTGGCTGAGTTATTTCTTCTTATAAACCATGAAGACCCTACATAATCAAGGACATCGTAAATCATGGAGAACCGACTCAACTATAGACTAAGAAATAGATACAGTGAACAAATTAAATGACCATCTACGCTACCAATACTGGATTTCTTTTTCTTGTATGTTCTATATATATCTGTGCTATGGTCATGGGTATATAAAACAAAATTAACATGTAAAACTTAAAAGTTCAGAAAAATCTTATCCATTTTTCTTTTCTCCAAAACCTACATGTTGTAGAACCAGAGAACATTAAAATAATAGCAAAGTGGGAAAGGAAAACAAAGTAAAAAGTGTTAATATGTTTTTTACCCATGTGCCAAACACAAGTTTTCAATGGAAATGTCATGTGATGTATAGAAATATTGATTTAACACGCTAGGCTCTGTTCTCTTTGCAATAGGAAGAAGTCGGAAGATTCCACCTCCACGGTTGTTTATCACAAGAATTGTCATTGGTTTCCTTGCAATCCTAACAAGTCAGATTAAACTTCAGAAATTAATCGTTATGTTGACTTATAAACCATGGCATATCTGTTTGGTGTATAAAATCCACCAACAGTGAAACTACAACAATAAAAACAGAGGAAAAGGGCTACCTCTGCTTCAAAATCGCCAATCCATTTGTATCATGAAGGAAAGAGATGTCCCCCACCACACAGACCACCTGATATATGGTGATTTACCAATTAACAAATTTAATTTTTGACATGGTAAACAAAAACACATGAGTAAATGGTTCTGACACTTCTTCCACTTCACGCATAAAAGGGAAAAAAATCAATTCAAATCTTACTCTCTTCTTGCATCCTACAGCAAAGCCAGTGGCCGAGCTGAGCAACCCATCAATGCCACTAGCTCCTCTATTTCCAGTTACTTGTATCCATTGACATGGTAGTTCTGCACTCAACATCATATCTACCACATGAGAAGAATTTTCTGAACTACATCCATACATATCCACATCCCTTATTGGCAT